GTGGTAAAACCATGGTAAGTGATGTGTTTACTGTGCTTTAACTACAAATACCACATTAAAACTGCATTACTGTGGTAAAACCATGGTAAGTGATGTGTTTACTGTGCTTTAACTACAAATACCACATTAAAACTACTTTACTGTGGTAAAACCATGGTAAGAGTTGTGTTGCTGTGCTTTAACTACACATACCACATGAAAACTACGTTAATGTGGTAAAATCATGGTAATTGTTGTGTTACTGTGCTTTAACTACAAAGAGTACACAATAAACACTGTTACTGTGGTAAAAGCATGGTAAGTATTGTGGTCACTGGGCATTTACTAACAAGATCGAGCTACAGCACTGTGATAAATCACATTCGTTCAGTGGCATTCACAACAGATTTGTAAAGAAAACGTCAAACTGCACTTACTTTCACATTAATTGCAGACAATCAGAACAGTACCTTAAAAAACAAACCATAAAATAAAATAGTTAACACACCTGGACAAGGACATTCGGTGAATTGTTGGGTCACTCCTCCTTTTTTGACTGGTAACGATGGTAACGACAGTCAAAGGTCATTTGATGAAGACACACCCGACAAACGAGACTGTCATTATTTATAAGGACACTAGAGGGCGCTTGATTTTAAACCATAATAATAGGTCGTAATACGCTGCTTGCACAAACGACCTATGGGGGTCTTATTTAGGAGGAGGACAGTCTCATGTCTTCTGCCTCTCTGGGCTAGAGACTCAGAACTTGGTCAATCCGTTTTGTCTCTTTAGGATGGAGACTCAGGATGTGCCTCAGGATCTGTTGTTGTCTCGCTGGACAAAGACTCTAAAGTCTGCATGTAGAGTATCTCTTTCCTCGCAGACTGCAGGCTCATACGTGATCATATCTGTTGCTGCCTCAAAAGCTGGAATCTCAGAGCATGAAATGTCTGTTTCTGTCTCTCTGGACAGGAGACTCAAAACGCTGGTGTTTCTGTTACTGTCTTTCTCCCTACAGGACCAAGAATCAGAACTTGGAATCTGTTATTGCCAAACTTCCCAAACAGGCCAGAGGCTCAGAACGTTGGTGATCTGTTTCTGTCTCTCTCCTTATAGGACCGAGACTCAGAACAAGGAGTGTCTTTTGGAAGGGTACCTTTATCCCTTTCCGATGAGGAGGAGATTGCAATTTGGAGCTTCTCCATTTCTGTGCTGTGATTGCCTGTTTCCATCAGAGCGGGGGACATGTGTGGCCCACCCTTCTCTGCTCTGCAGAGTCCAAACATACATTTAGAAAAGTGTCCCTAAAGTTTTACCAATGCATTATTCACTTACCAAACCACAACCAGAATACATTTGGCAACGTTACGAACACATTAAGTCCAAACATGATGGCAAAAGATTGAACTGTCATGCATGCATTCATTTGTCTCTAGGTTGGTGAAGGGCAGAAACTGCATTTTGACCAATGAGAAATCCTGTCCTTCCCGGGCTGGTTACCAGAGGTCTTCTTCTTGCCCTCTAAGAGGTGTCTGGCTGTTGTCCTAGCATCTTTATCTGATGGTGTTGGGCAGTTTGCTTATGTTAGTCCACTAAGATCCAGTCAAAATGGAGCAAACCTTTGTCCACTGTTGTGGTCATAGAGGGGCCATGCCATAAACTGGGCCCTGGAATGTGCTTTTCATTGCACGTTTTATAAATGAGGCCCCCAGAACGGCATGGTGTATATTTTCTTTTCACCATTCAATTCACCCTTTTCTCACAACTACAAACGACAACTGTAAACTACATACCAGCTTGTACAAATCTCAAAAGTCTTATGTCAAAACCAAATATTTTAGCCAAAAACATATCACAATCAAACTGTAGCCTGACACACATAACCTACAAATAAACAGACTACTTCACTGCCTAGTAAGACTTACATAAACCTCTTTTTTTCAAAGTCTATTACAGTATACACCATATATAGAGATGCGCAGCTACAGTAAAATTCAACAAAAAGCTTTAAGTAAAGTTTATTTGTATTACACTACTATAAATAGATCAAATTTTTTTGTTATCGTGGGATTCTGATTGGTGTGTCATCAGTTTTGCTACTTAATGTTTACTCATGGATAAATGCGTGCTACCTCAGTTCACAGTGTGACACTTGAGTTAATTGTATTTTATACTGTTTTCTGAATGAGAACATGGTTAAACCTGTGTAAAATGAGGGCATTTTGTGTAGGGATTTGAAAAAAAAATAAAACGTTGAGAAAATTTGAATGTGTGTGAAACCAGGTGAAATGTGTTTTTAGTTTTGAGAAATGTGACTTTGTTTCAAGAACCAACGGTAGGTTTAAGGGTGGGTTAAAGTGTAAGGGATAGTTTTTTTTATTTTATTTTTTTTATATTTAAGTAACAATGTAAAAATATGTATGTACACAATAAACGCATTGTACCAAATGATTAATTTAAATGTAAGTACATAGCATATAGTAAAGGCCTCTTAATATAAAGTGGGACCAGTATACTACATATACTTAGGCTGGTCACACTTTATATTAAGAGGCTTTAACTACAATGTACAGACATTGAAACATTATATATTATATATAATAATAAATTCAAACTTCACACAGGGACCACTTAGTGGTGCAGTTGATCAAGGAAAGCTGTAACCATACAATCTGGTTCTTACAAAGCTGGTAGTTTACAAGAAACAAATATTTTATTAAATTATAGTAGATATTTGTACATTGACCTTTTATTTCGAGTTAAAAAAAAAAAGCTGAAAATTCTGACATTATTTGGGCCCCTTCAGCATGACAGGAACAGGACACTTTTTTTTTTTTTTTTTTTTTTTTTTTTTTTTTTTTTTTTTTTTTTTTTTTTTTT